TGGTTTTCACACACAGAGCAAATGCTAAAAAAGGTCCAAAGTGATTTGTGTATTCAATTCAGCAGACAGTGTGATTTTTTTGTGTGTGTGCTTAAGCAACTTATATTGTAATGACCAAACCATGCACCTTTATGGGTGGAGCATATACAAATGTAAGTATTCATCATGTTTAAAGACATTTTTCAAACCCAAAACTCAACTGTTGCCTGGGTTTTACACCTCTAAAAACCAAGGGCAAACTTATATGTAAACATTTCTGCAGACTCAGAGGGGCACTGCATGTACCTCACCATATACTGTAATTTTTAGGCCTATTTTCTAGTCCTCCAACATTAGGTTAGGGTATTAGGAATCAGTCCTGAGAAGAAAGGACTAGTAGATAAAATAATTGAGGGGGATATTCTAAAACAGCACCCCCTTGAGGCACCATATATGATGGTTTATAAAATATTGTTTGACGAGGTAAATCCATCTGTTTAGAGCATAACCTGCTGTGAATCTGACTGTGGCTCCTTCTCTACTGGGGATAAATGGGATGGGGGTGTTGGTCAGCCAGCAGAGTGGGAATACTTTCTCCTTGTTATGAAATTTTATTTCTTATATTTAACTTTACCTTTAGTTATTTTTCATGATTTTTCACTGAATAGTACTTAGTATTGTCACTGCTATTATCTTTTAAACAATTAATCTTTTACTACCTCCAACTTCATTGCATGAAAACCTCCCCTTTGTCTCCTGATCTCCCTCAGACTGCCAGTAGGACTTGAAATCTGCTCATTTTAATAAGGCATAACCAATTGAGTTTACACCTCTTAAATCTGCGTAAGCGATCTGTGTATATCACCCGCACCATGCCCACTCATGCAATTTTACATGCCTTATTTGATATCTTTAAACACAGTTTCAAGAAAACAAAGATTCTTAGGAGCAGCACAGACTAAATAGATTAATGAAAACACATTTGAATATCTGACAATACAACCCTCTTAATAAAGGTCTTGCAGTTGTTTTTGCAACTAAAGAGATCATTATGCTGGTGAGGATTCGCAGCCATCCAGGCCATAGTTGTTCCAATAAAGGTAAAAAAAAATATGAACAAATTCCAATAGAACTTTTTTAGAATAAAGAGATCATTTTTAGATGTGACATTTTAGATGCACATATTTCAACAGACCTTTGTCGCAGATTTTGCTCGCCAAATGGAACAGGTTCCATCTCTCCCCAGGTTTTCTTAAAGACAGCTTTTAACTCTTTTATTTTTTTAATGTAGTAAGACTATTACTAAGGCAATTTAGGTGACAAGGAAAGAAAACTACTTGGTTGGGGGCAAACTCGAAATGCCAAAGACTGTCAACCTATAGAACGCTATATGGAAATAGGTCTACTGAGCTGTTTCATCACTGCAGTAAAAAACCTGTTTAAATTGTTTTATAATTTTATAACAGCCCAGATTCTTACCTGAATAAATGCAGAATGTTTATATGCAAACTGAGTTTTAAATGCAATATTTTATAGTGCAACTTCAACGTGTGACTCTGCTTTGAATTCTCTAGTATTGGAAAGTTAATGTTTCTCAAGTAGGTATAATAAACAAAGAATTTAACCAAAAGAAATGAGTTTGGAAATTCTAACATACCTAAAAAAGCAAAGCTATGCTCTGACTTGACATTAGAAAGTTTTGTCTTAAAGGTTTTAGTTTGTTCTCATACAGTTCTAATCTAGTTATAATCTGTATATTTTTAAAGTGTCAACAATGGGTGGTGAGGTTGCTTGAGGACCCAGATGCAGAGACAAGTGAAGCAGAGATGAGTTCTGAGAGGTTTAATTGCAGACCAAATAGCAGCAGAGGCAGAAATCCTGAAATCCAACTTAAAAAATAAAACAAACCAAAATCATGGAGACATCAGGGGAAAAACGAGTCTGAGGAGCCGGGGAGAGACGAGCAGAGTAGACAATACAGCAGCAACAAGAAGGAACCAGCACTGAGTGACTGCAGAGGTGAAGTATTTAAGGAGAACCAAACAAAAGGATGGACTAACGAGCTGAATGGGGAGCAGGTGTGGGTGGAACTGGCAAGAGGGAATCCAAGGGGAAAGAAAACAATCACAAGGGGGCAACAGAGAGTAACTAAAGAATGTTTGAAGATCATGGAAAATAAAAACAAAACAACTGTTAACAGAAAACTCAGAGTCACAAAAAATAAGAACCATAACATAAAGACGTACAGCTACTGTAGACAAGTTGCTGCTACAGTACCTCTGAAAATGTTTCAGTTCTTAGCAAATGATGAAGTGTTAGGTTAACTTTAGCAGGTTTAATATCAGTTTTAACTAAACATATATACAGACTAAATACACATAACATTTTCCCATGCTTTAAGGAAATATAAATAGGTATTTTACATTTACAAATCTTCTAATATCCTCTTTAAATGAATAATTAGACATTATTTTAATTAGGAACAGAAAATTGAATAGAGTTCATTTGCAGCTCTATTTCGTACCCCTTCTTCTTTTTCACAATGAAATGCAAAATTGTTTGAATCATGTCCATGCACATTTATGTGCTCTGTAAAGAGGTGTGTGTTGATTGGTCACAGGAAGCGCAGACCTGCAATGATGTCTGTCCTTGTGTTGTACATATATTGATATGCTCTAAAAACTAGAGTCGAGCTACCTATATGTGAGCCGAAAGTAAATATCAGGGAAGAGGTGTTTGAGTATCATTCAGTAACGTTCTTTTTATTTCATGCATCTACACACATGACCTTAACACAGCTGTTTTGTAATTGCGATGATGTGAAGATTAAGTGATTTTAGCCGGTTGATGAGAGACAGGTGCAGTAAGAGAAAGGAGGGCTCCGGTTAGCACCCTTCCACAAATGATCTGGATCCAGGAGGAGGACAGAAGTCTCTCTATGTATAGAGCGCGCCATTGTAGAGGTTTTTTTTTATTTTATTTTTTTGAGCAAAGAGCCCACACAGACGCACGCACACACACACACACACAAAAACTCATTTTACAATGTGGCATCCCTGGTAGGTTTTAACTGAGGCCCAAACCTTACATGTTTTAAAATACAAAGGCAGAAAAAGTCCAAGATCAAATGTGAAAAAAAGGCAAACATTTTTTATGCCTATAGATATAAGATGCAAGTAGTGCTTGTAATGCAATATGAATGTTGGCTGAAGAGGGAGCTCAAGCTATGGAAGCAAGTCATTAGTAAGTACTGCCAACTCATGATTGGCAACAATGTTTATGTCAAGTGGTTGCATCCTGTGCAAAAGATTCAAAAAGAACTATGCAAACACTATCAAGATAAGCACTCGACTTATATTTTTCTCATTGATGATCAATTTATATTTTTTTAGGTAAAGTACGCAGGGTTTGGCATTGAGAATCAATAAACCCTCAGAACTGGTTCAAACCGTTCAAATCACCCAGAATCGCACAAATTTCTCTCCTTTTTGATTCCTTGTTTTGATCCTCTGTCACCCAACCAGAAATAGAAGCTGCCTAATATAAGCGAAGACGAATTTGCAGCAGTGTGTGTGCAACCATAAGTTTGTGCCGCAACAATTAAGTATGACGTAACGTAACATTCGGTTACCGGAAACACTGGCGGTAGGATTATATTATGCAAAGGACCAGCATAAAACATAAACACCATCTTTAACCCATTGCACTGTTGATGTAGGCTCCCTAAATAAATCTGTTCCTCCTCTAAAAAACGCAGCCTCTACAGGAACTGTCTTCCTCTTCCTCTGTCATAACACATACCCACCTTGTTTCCCACCTGTTCTGAATTGAATAAAAAGCACTTTAATGTAGAGCTTTATCTTGTTTATTTTAGTTAATGTTCAATATTTCTTAAGATAAAACTCCTTTACCGAAGAATAGAATTTGGAATTCCACGTCAAGTTGAGGCGCAGTAAATAACACTGAGGATATAAATTCTGTCTGGATGCCTTCCTGCTGCACTGCTTTTTGTTTTCAAGCTCACATACACAGCCTAGAGGCGCACCACGGTCAGAATCAGGTTAATATAAATAATGAACTTGTCCTATAAAGCATAAGTATCTGAAGCATCAAAAACTGGATATATTTAAATGTATGTTAATGAGGTTTTAAACAAAAACTCAATGAAATTTTCTTTAACTCTGTGAAAGGGAAATTCATATTATATAAGAGTTCATAAGTTTGATATTAATATACTGGGTAAAAATAACTATGTGATAATTTATAGTAACATTTACACTTAGTTAGATGTTCAAGGAATTGAATTTCATTGAGAATTTCTAATCCTTACATCCAGATAGAACTTGGTTAGCCAGCTAATCTAAAACATGTAAACTTTATTGATTTGTGTTTGTAAAATAACCAGAATCAAGAATCAATAGGAACCAGAATCTAAATGAGGAACTGAAATCAGAACTGAATTCATTCAAATTCAAACATTGCCCAATCCTAATAGTATGTCCCTCAGCTTCTTTAAATCCTTGAAATCACAGTAAAGGATAAAAAGTAGATGAGATTATTAGCAAACACCAGGGTGCAGTTCATCTAAATAATCATAATGGTTTAAAATGTATACCTTTTAAAAGTTTTGTGTGGTTAATTGTTTTTATAAGGACCATGCTCATGAATAAGCATAAGTCAGTCTATAAGGCAAACTTGCCAGATTTAGACATAAAGCTTCATTTTCATTTGCAGTCTGCGTTATGCTTATGTTATAAAGCAGGATTAAAAAAAATTTAATCATATAATTTGTTAAAATAAGATTTAAACATGTGTATAAGTGAACTGAGTTTAAGACTTCATGTAAAAAACATCATATATTCAGGTGTCAACACATCAGGAGTTTTGTTTTTTGTTTTTTTCTCAGGAATTCAGATACACACAGAAAACAAACGAAAACATGTCTTAATCAAACACATGTAATGCTGATGATAACTTATCTCACAGTTTGTGTTGACTCCGGATTTCATGTTTCGCTTCAGAAATTGCAGATAAGATCTACAACCTGTTCAATGGCTACACAAGTGGGAAAGAACAGCAGACTGCCTACAACACTCTTATGGACCTGGGTGCTCCAACACTGCATCGTGTTCTTTACCATTACAACCACCGCTATGAGAGCTTTGGTGAATTCACCTGGAGATGTGAGGACGAGCTTGGGCCAAGGTACAGTTCCTGCTTTATCCTTTCTTCGAAAGTTCAGCCACAGCTTCAGCTTAATTTATGAGAGCAACAAACAAAGTGGTGTAGATCTGTGTTAAGTCAAAGTTTTACTGTATATCCAAAGGATAAACCATCTTAACAATGCAGAGAATATGTTGATTGTCATCCCTTTTTAAAATTAGTGTGAAAAAAATCGTTAACCATTGCAACTGACTCGAGTGCAAATAATGTCTCCTGTAAAACTGATCTGTAAAACTTGCTAAGGAGATTAAGGAAATCTGGCAAATTAAAAAGGGTTAATTTGGTTTCAGTGCTGCAAATTCTTGAACAATTAGCCATATAATTCTAGAATTCAAGAATTTTTAAATGCTGTATAAGAAGACTCACATAGGTCTGGTAAATTAATAAAGTAAATAAATTAAAATCATTGCTGAATTTTTCTCGGTCATACTGTTTTCCTGCTACGTCAAAACTGTCTGTTACTTTATGTTGGTCTGTGAAAGAAGGTGTCAACAAATTTAACAGGATAAATGGTAAATGGCATGTACTTATATAGCGCCTTTTTTCAAGTCAGGAGACTTGACCAAGTGAAGTGTCTTGGCCAAGGACACAACAACACTTAAAGTCAGAGCCGGGGCTTGAACCTTCAATCCTTCGATTTCAGGGCAAACTCCTACATCCAACGCCACCGTCGCCCCAACCTAAGGATAAACCAATACCACCAACAGCAAAAGCTATGTGGAGTTATGTATTAGTCATAGTGTCTATACATTCAACAAGAATTTTAAGCAGAGAAATAATGCCAGATATCACTCTGCGTGAGAGTTGATGTGCAAATCAAACAAAAATCTCTCTTTTTAAATCAGGAAACAGACCCATATCAAAATAAGGTAATCCTATCTTAATTAAAGCATTTCCTCCCCATTTTTCAAAGCAACTGTAATTCTTTCCAGCAACATTATAAACATACCCCACCGATGGTCAGCCCTCCATGACATCAGCCCATTCAAATCCTCGCTGTGTGTGACTCTTGTTTTTAATCTCAACATTGTGCAGATGTTCAATCTCTGACTGCTGTCTGTGTAACTTGACATTTAAGGAAGTTCTTTTGAACTGGCAGGAAACTGATTATGTGACATCACTGTTTTGTTGTGAAAATATCCAGCCAGACCAAGCTTTGGACCCCCTCTGTTACCAAGAACCAGTAACGCAAACGTGAAAGTATAGCTTTATGTTTTCTAAACCTGGTCACATGTTGGATATAAAATGCACTAATAAACAGTAGTATGTGGCGTATGCTTTCACTTTGGCAGGTGAACCTGATTAGTGAAGGCTCCCCTAACTCTTTGTTTCTCTCTGCTTCTGTGGGTTCCCTCACTCTGAATGAAAGCTTGTTTTTGTAATTGGAACCATGTTTGAAAAGGTTGATGTAACAGAGGGAGTTTCTTCAGAAGTGTTCCATTATAATGCACTTACATTAACAACCCTGCAATTTAGTTAAAGGGGAGCAGTGATTAATGTTAAAACAAGCGCCCAGAGCTGGAAAAGCAGCTGAGAAGTGCATTCAAGGTAAGGCCTGACAACAGGGGAAGGAAGCATACATTTGTTGCTGCTTAGCCGAGTGATCAAATGAGCCTCAGATTTTCCTTCTTTGGTGGGAATAAAGAGTTAATGCTACACATGAATGTTTTAACAAGACAGCAGGCCAGATGAGAGGTTAATGGCCTCCCAGTTTCACAGTGTACAAGCACCCCACCGTGTCAGTCACTTAATGAGTCTGAAATTGTTTTAATGCCGTAAAAAACAAATGCAGCAGATCAATGCTTGGACTCAAGTCAGGACTGACACACTGCCAAAAGAATATTTAGCAACTATATCATGCAATATACTAGGCTTAAAAGTATCATCTAATCATGTTAACCAATTTCTTAAAAAACAAAAACAAAGAAGGCTTAAACTTTAAAAGCCTCTACATAAAATACGTTTTCAATCTTTATTTAGGTTAGAAATGTCTCGCCTATTTGACAGGAACGGATTCCTATGGTTTGATAACCTTATGTTAAAATACTAGCCACCAGTCCTAATAATGATATGCAGTACCTTGCAAAAGTATTTGGCCCCCTTGAACACTTCAATCTTTTGCCACATTTCAGGCTTCAAAAATAAAGATAGAATTTTTATTTTATTTTTTTGGGGGTGGGGGAGAATCAACCAATTTATTGAATAATTAAATGTTTTTTTAACAAATAAAATACTGAAAAGTGGGCAAAAGGTGTAAGCCCCTTTACATTCTCTCCAGAAGTTCCATTAGATCTGAAAGATCTAATGGTGTCCTAGTCATGGCTTTGGATCTGTTTAAGTGTTCTTTTTTAGTTTTCTTTTCCATTTCTTTTGTTATTCTAGTTGTTTTTTGCTATTTTTTTTAGTTCTTATGTATCTCTTGTTTACCTTTTCTTTCCCCCTTTTGTCAGTCTCCTTCCCCTAGCTCCCTTCTAGATGCTTCTACCCACACCTGTTTCTTGTCGGCTCATTAGCCCAGTCTTTGTTCTAACTCTCATTTTACACTCTCCCAGTGCAGTTTCTCAGTGCTGGTTCCTCATTGTTTCTTGATCCTCATGTTTGTTTTCCCTGATATCTTCTAGTTTTTGGTTTTCTGTGTTCTGTTATTGTTTGGATCTTTGCCTCAGTTGCCACCATTTTGAATGATTAATTCAGCAAGAAACAACTTTAGCTTAGATCTCTGAATTTGGGTCCTTCGAAACTTCCAGTTAACCTGAGAGACCTACATGACTTATGATGATAAATAGAATCCACCTGTGTGTAATTAAGTCTCTGTATAAATGCACCTACTGTTATACTGTTATTGAGAAGTTTAAAGCTGGATCTGGATACAAATAGATTAACCAAGCTTTAAGCGTCACTAGGAGAATTGTGCAAGCCAACACTTTCTCTGGAGTTCCATCAACATACTTTGAAACTATAGAAACTGTATGATTAAAAATATTCATAGATTCTACATTATAACACCTTGTTATACCTTAACTTATCCATCATCTGAATAAAGTTTATGGACCTAATCTTTAGAAAGGTGGTGTGTATTAATAGAGGTGCAATCCTGTTTTTGCATGCAACGTGGAAGATCTTCACAGGAGGTGCATTTGTGTTTGAAATTCAGCAGACAGATGTGTACTTTTTAGTGTGAGAACTCTGCACAAAGCTGATGAAACTGTTTTTGTTTTTTTTATGTCTCAGTAAATTGTGTCAAGGTGCTGTTAAGAGGAGCTGTAGAGATAACCCCAGATGTTTAGAGCATAATCTGCTCTAAAGTCAATCAACAGACACAAAAAATGTTATATTTAATTTTACTTTTTCTTATATATATGTTTGGGGTTTTTTTATACCGTTTTTAGATAGACTACCTGTTTCAGGTAAATATTATCTATTATTTTCATCAAATTTTCTTTAAATTTAAGTTATAACATCCTTCGTCTCCATGGCTTTGATACTGAATACACATCTTTCTTTTATGTCAACTCTCAAACTGCCTGTAGGACACACAATCTGCTCATGCTAATAGGCAAAACCTAATCAATTTAACATTTGAGCAGCAATTTTTGTAGATTACACAAAGCACCAGGGGTTTGTTTCATGGAGCAGGTCTACCAAAAAATTTAAAGTTGTCTAAACTTGAAAACAGGGAAACTCTGACATTTCCGGTTCACAAAGATAGTTTATTCACCCTCTGTTTCAGTCACGGTAATAACTTTCACCCCAGAGCTAGCCTGGTTGGTAGCAGGTTTTTTAAGGTAAACTCGGACTGTCTCCGCTCTCATTGCAACCAATCACGTTGTTTTATTTCCTGATTTAGTCTGATTTTTGCCATAGTTTTTTGCATGAAAAAAATTTTCATTCCCTAGGTCCGTTACACACATCAGGTTTTAAAAAACAAACATTGCATGTCCATTTGATGAGGATCTTATAAAAGAATGAGTTGCACTTTTTCACAGAGAATTAAATATTTTTAGGGAGAGGACTCTACAAGTCAGTTGACAGGGCATGAGATTACTTCCAATCTTACTTCAAATGTCATGCCCTGAGTGGAGCACCGTCAAACCCCTGTACTTTATGCACATAATCATATTTGAAGCATTTTGAGATCCGGCCCTATAATTTTGTTTTTTTATCTCTCAGAATCCATAGTTCACCCTACGAGCTTCATTATTTTCCTTTGAAATTTCCAATCTCATACAATCTATTTGTTTGTTTATGCATTTAGCAGATTTTATCCAAGGCGCCTTACAAAGCAGACATCAGTGTGAAGGGTCTTGCCTAAGGACTCACACTGGCAGCTCATTCCCCCCAGCGGGTGACTTGAGCATATAGATGAGCTGTTACTAATGCTAACTTAGTGTTGGGTCAATGAAGCTGTGTCAAGATCTTTTAAATAAAGTCCCAAATTGAGCAGCTGTTCTATAGCATCCCTTAGACATAACCTATATAGAAACAGAAATTCATTTTGATCTAATTTTAAAGATAATTTTTGCCTGAAGTTCTAGAAAATCTGTGTATTACTTTTAGTTTTGTAAAGTTTCTGTGAGGAAAAGCATTTTTTGTCATGATAAACTGTACAGTTGATCTCTTATTTCTTGAAGTATTATCAAGGAATTTAGGATATTATTGTTAAAACTTCTTTACAGCTGTAGAGAGGCCCCCTGATGAAAATTGTTGTTATTATCCTTAACAATTATTATCTAAAAAATCATTTGGCACACTATAATCTCCTTAATAATGAGTTATATCTGAAAAAGAAGAGAAGACTAAAGGAGAAGAGTAAAGTTTAAGAGTTTTCCCTTATAGACCCAAGGTGAGAAAGAGATTAGTAAGAGAGCTGATAGAGCAAACACAGAATAGTTTGCCAAAGAAAAAGAAAAAAATGCCCCACTGTTTGACTGTAGAGTTCTAAGGGAGGAGATTGATGACATAATAAAAAAATCCTTTCAGCA